GGCAGACGCCCTGCAGTACCTGCAGAGGGTCTCCGGAGACATCTTTAGCAGGTGGGTGCCGCCCCTCGCGCCGCCCAGCCGGAGGGCTGTGCCCGGCCCTGGCACCCTCTGGGAACAGCCCCTTCGGTGATGCTGGGTCCCGGGGGAACCCAGCTTGGAAGCTTTTTCTCCCAAGTGCCAGAAGCTTACTCCCCGCTGTTCCGCTAGGCTTCCCGGTTTCCTGTGCGTCTGTTCCTACACTTTTGCCTGTGGCCAACCAATGTTTACACGGGTTTTGTGCAGGCACCGTGCTAGTCTCCAGAGACAGCAGTGAGGAAGGCAGTGACCCACCCAGCTAGAGCCTGTGCCCAGGCAGTCGGGCTTCAGGAACCAGGCGTGTGATTCAGTGTCTCATCACAGTGGCGATGAGACCCACTTACAGTGTTTTGGAAATAGCTGATAGACACTGTACCACCATTGATCCGAGTCCACTAACTCATTTCACTCTTGATACACTTTATGGGACGTGCTCTCCATGTTGCAGATGAGGAAACTGAGGCACAGAGAGACCAAGAGACTTGGGCAAGTGGCATGACCAGCCTTCAGACCCAGGGACGGTGGCCCCGGGTTTTGTAGGGTTTTCACCCGGACCGTGCGAATTGCCTTGGCGGTCTGGCCTGGGCTGGGGAATCGGAAAGGCCTGTGTGAGGAAATTACATTTACGGAGCAGGCAGGTTGGGAGGAAGAACCTTCCCGAAAGGAAGGCGGGCGTGAGCTAAAGCCCTGAGGTGGGGAAAAGGTGAGCGGAAGCCAGTGTGGGGGGACAGGGCAGGCCGGTGAGGTGGGCGGGGCTTCGTGGCCTTGGAGGGGTGTGAGCTGGAGAGCTGCAGCTTCTCTGTCTCTAGCACGAACCTCTCACAGGCCTTGGGCCACGGAGCTACGCTCGTCCGTGCACTGAAAACGAACGCTCCTGGGTTTTTCTTGGCGCCCAGGTCCTGTCTTTGGCCGCAAGCAACCTGAAATGAGGCCTGGTCTCCCAGGTGAAGCCTCCGCCTGCCTGACTCGGGCTCCTCTCACGGTCCAAGTCAGCCCCCACCCCGCCCCGGTCCTGTGCCAGCCCGCCGTGCGAGGCCTCTTCCTTCACCGTTTGGAAGTCTGTGTCTTCCCAGAAGCCCTCGCCAGCTGGGTGGGGGGTAGGGAGAAGATGCCATCGCCTCCACTGGGCTTGGTGTCAACCCCAAGTCCTCTGGCCTCTTCTGCCTCTTCGCCGCCCCCTGACTCATCTGCCTGTCCCAAGTCGGCCCGGAATGTCCCAGTGGCCCAGGCCTCGGCTCTGGAGCCGAATGCAGTGGCTCGAGTCAGCTTCCCCTGTTTGCTTGTTCTGTGACCTGGGACCAATTACTCAGCCCCTCTAAGCCTCAGTGTTCTCATCTGTAAAACTGTGATAGCAACAGTATCCTCCTTGTGGGACTGTGGTAACGGTCACGTGAATTACGTGAAGGAATTAAACAGCACCTGGCCCTGGTTGGCATTCAGGAAATGCTGGCTCTTCCTGTCGAGGTCACCCTGCTAGTCTGCTGCCCGTGGTGGCTACTCATCACCCTGCTGTCATTCGTTGGAGAATGTGTTGGATGCCCCCCTTCGTGCTTAGTACGCACTAAATGTGCTCAGGGACGCCCAAGCAAGAGGACGCAGGTCTTTAAGAGCCACCAGCCGCAGGTTATGCCACCCCGTGCCCAGGCCCTCGAGTGGATGCCAACACTCTTCCCTCAGGAGCTGCTGTGTTTCCTCGCCAGGAGGGGGACTGCAGGCCACCCTTCTCTAAGGGAGTGGTGGGACTGGGCGTACTTTCCTGTCCCGTCCTGGTGTCTGGCACCTTGCCGACGGCAGCATGTCCCCCTACCCAGGGATGGAAGGAGAGGGCGGCGTGGCCGTCCCCCGGGGAGGGCAGTGGGGAATTAGTGGGTGTGGGTGGGTTCTCCAAGTGGCTGGCATGACCCAGGGAGGGGAGGGGGCCTGTCAGGAGCCCTGGGCCTGGGGCCAGACTCCCTCACCGCCGGCTTCCAGGTCACCACACCCACCTCCCCTCACGTGTCCAGCGTCAGGTGGGCCCCAGAGGGTGCCAAAGACATGGACAACTCGGTGTCCTCAAGGAGCTTGGTGTCTAGAATGGGAAAGTAGTACACCTGTCACAGTACCCAGATTAGGCAAAAAGTCACCCGTCGGTAGAGCAGGCCTTGGCCGTGAGGACACAAGCGATGGCATGGGGACCTGGCCTGCCTTGTTCCCTCTCGGCCTGCTGCTTGTGGGCTGACTGCAGGCCTTTTTCCCGCAGGCAGGGGACAGCCAGGAGGACCAGGGCTCCTGCACTCAGGGCTGTGTCTGGCAGGAAGGAAGACGGTCCTCTGTGCCTGCTTTTCCTCTGGAAATCGTGCTCTTCCATCCTGGGGCCTGGGAGATAGGACACACGGCGTGGCTTCGCCCTAGGAGCTCTGGGGACGGAGCCTGTGGGAGAGAGAAAGGGCTTGCCCCAGCAGGAAGGGGATGCCAGAGAGGAGCTGGTGCCTCTGCCACGGCCAAGGGGCACCTGGAGGAGAGGGTGGGGCTGGGGGCGAGCAGGTTGTCTGGTGGGGTCTAGAAACGGGGCTGCAGGCTTGGTGAGAGGCCCGAACGTGGCCTGGAGCGCGGTGTATTGTCAGCACGCTCACCTGGGCGCACGGAGGGTGCCGCCTCCCTGCACACAGCTCCTTCCGCAGCACAGGGTGAGGACCTGACTGCATACCTGGGGCCTTGCCTCCCTCTGGGCCGTGTCCCGGGGAGCCTGGCCTTGCATTCCTTTCTGGCAGGGTGGGATTAAGTCAGTCAGGACCTGCAGGGGGTCCTCGGAACAGGACCGGCTTCGGCTCAATTCAGGAGATTTAGGGGAGCTGTGGTAGCTTCTCCATCAGGGAAAGATGGGCAGAGTCTGGGGAAGGCTTACGAGGTAGCCGCCGCCACAGAGGGGCAAGGAGGGGCAGAGGGCATTCCAGGGCTGTGGTCAGGGCGTGAAGGGGGCCTTGCTGGCACAGGGGGCGCTGGACGGCACATGCAGAGGAAGCAGCGACGGGACGCGGGGACAGCTTGGGCGCCAGGATGGAGGAGAGGGGGAAGCCGGCCATGACCCGGAGTTGGGGGGCAGGCACTGACACCTTTCCTCCCCTGCCCGCCCGTCTCATTCTTCGTGGGGGTTTTGGGTGGGGTGAGACTGCCGCTCCAGTGGTGGCCTCTCATCGCCCTGCTGTCGTCAGCTTGAGGATGCTCACTCCTCCTGCCTGGCTGTCTCTGGCAAAGAAAGGACAGGCGGGCGGCGGGGCACTGGCCCCTCTCCTGGCCCGGCCTCCCCGGCCGCCGTGCAGGCGCGTGAGCTCAGGCACATTAGCATTCCGGGCTGGTCTCGCGGCTCTGCCGCAGCGGGGGCGTGCGGGCCTGGAGAGAATGACGAGCGCCTCCTCGGCCGCCCTCCCCGCCCCCTCCGCACCTGGGAGAAGCCAGGCCCCAAAATATCTGCCCAGCATGTCACCTGCTTCCCGTGACTTAGGTGACAAGCGGGAGGGGGCTGGGCTGGCAGGGAGAAGGGGGCCGACGGCCGTGCGTGGAAGGGATGCGGCGTCGTCCCCTTTACGCGCCAGCGCCAGCCCAGCCAGCCGGCCCCAGCCCAGCCGCAGGCTGCTTCCCCGGGAGGGGGCGGTCGTCTCTGCGAAGCCCTGGTCCTTTCTGCTCGCTCTCTCCCCCCTCCTTCCTCCTCCCTCCCTTCTCCCCTTCCCCTTGGCTTCTTCCTGTCTGTCTCGCCCTTCCTCCCTCCTTCCTGCTCCCCCTCCTCTCCTCTGAGTCGCACCTGGTGGCCCCCACGGTTGCAGCTCTCAGTCAGCCGCCTGCATAATTAGCAGAGAGGGGAGGAGGGGAAGGTGAAGGCAAGAGCTGGGCTGGGGTCTGCTTCCCAGGGTGGAGGCGGAGCCAGGAGTGGGTGCTTCCTCCCCCAGCAGGCTCCGGGGCCTGGCGTGCTGGCAGCGACAGCAAGGCGGGGGCCCTGCCAGGGCCAGGGGCCCACCTGGCTTCACAGGAGATGTTCCCGTCGGCAGTGGGGGGTGATCTTTGGAGATGGCGGGACAGGGCGCCCAGCACCATCCTGGCTGTCCCTCCGCACACCAGGGGTGGCGTGGCTCCCTCAGTGCCGCCTCGGAAACCTCCTGCCTCAGCCCCAGCGGAGGGGCGCTGGCTGCAGCTCAGAGGCCCCGCCCTCCATAGCATCCTCTCGCAAGGGACTTGTGTTCTCCGCCTGGAGCTTCCTTCTCCGCGTCTGCACAAGATCACCGCCTCTGTGAGACTCCCCAGCCACACCTGTCCACCTTTGAAGAGGTTCTGGATGTCCCTGAGGGCCTGCAGTCTCCCCACCCCCACCCCCATCTGACAGGCAGTCGGAGCCCTTGCTAGCTGCTTGCCTAGGCTGTGTCGGCCAGGACCAGAGCACTGCGTGTCACCAGCTCGTGGTCAGCCGACACAGGAGTTCCATGACATG